AAAATTATTAAATTAACCAACACAACTTAAATATCAACCAAAAAAATGCAAACAAAAGACCAGGACTAAGACAACTAAATGAATACTAAAATAAAAGCAAAAAGACAAAAACAGACAAAATCCAAAAACAAGGAGCAAGACAAGAACAGAATTACAAGAGACAAGACTAGAGCACAAGATCAAGGAGACAGGAACACATACTCATCCACAGACAGAGACAAACACAGTGAGGAAAAGAATGACCACGGACCAGCAAATACAGTAGGGCAAGGGGCACTATAAATAGGGAGGAAAACACACGAGGACCAGGTGAGCACAATTAGACCAACAAGGCTAACAAGAGGGTGTGGTAAAGAGGAAACAAGGAGGAGGGGCTAGAGAAGCACATGGCTGAGAAAAACAAACTAGGCCATGTGCTGACACAGGACAACAGACACAAGAAACAAACACAAGACAAACGGGAGTGTCAGGGCAGAACCCTGACAGTTATTGGCATTAATGCACGTTACTAAAAGAGTCATTCCCATTAAATATGGTTGTATTCATTATTATATTGTTTTATATTACATTATTTGGTAGCACTTTACAATAAAGTTCCATTTGTTAACTACATTAGATAACATGAACTAACAATGAAAATAGTAATAAAGCATTTATTAATCTTAGTTAATGCTGATTCCAACATTTACTAATACAGTATCAAAATAAAAAAAAATGGACTCTGTTAATGTTAGTTAATGAACCTGAGCTAAGTTGGAACAACAATGAACAGCTGTATTTTTATTAACTAACATTAACAGAGATTAATGAATAATGTAACAAGTGTATTGCTCTTTCTTAGTTAATGTTAGTTAATGCACGGAACCTTATTAAAAAGTGTTACCGAATATTTTAATACTTTATTCAGCAAACATGCATTGTTGATCAAAAGTGACAGTAAATATAATTTATAATGGTTCAAAATATTTATTTCAAATAAATGCTGTTCCTTGGAATTTTCTATCCATAAAAGAATCCAGAACAAAAATGAATCACTCTCCACAAAAATATTAAGCCGTTAAAACAGCAACTGTTTCAACTCTGAAAATAACTGTTTCTTAGCACTGATCAATAACAGAATAATTTTTAATGCATCATGTGACACTGAAGACTGGAGCAATGGCCGCTTAAAAATTTAGCTTTGCCATCTCAGGAATAAATTACATTTTAAAGCACATTCAAATAGAAACATTATTTTAAACTGAAATATTTCACGATATCACCGTTTTATTTACTGTATTTTTGATTAATTAAATGTAAAAATAAATGGTTAGCATAAGACATTTCTTACAAAAAACAATCTTACTGACCCCGAACTTTTGAACTGTAGTATATAGATACAGTTGAAATCATAGTTTCATAATTGTTACAACCCAAAAGTGGGTAGAATTTGAAATGTGCAATTAAACGGCTAAACAAGTTTGTCATTGCCACTGTCCAGATGTCATATCTCGGATACACCCAAAGTATAGGGTTGCCACCCGTCCCTTAAAATACGGAATCGTCCCGTATTTCAAATGAATTAAGTTTTCCTCATTTTAACCCCCAAATATATATATATATATATATATATTATGTTCTCAATAATATTTATACTTTAATTAATCTGCTTAAACAAGGAGGAGGGGCTAGAGAAGCACATGGCTGAGAAAAACAAACTAGGCCATGTGCTGACACAGGACAACAGACACAAGAAACAAACACAAGACAAACGGGAGTGTCAGGGCAGAACCCTGACAGTTATTGGCATTAATGCACATTACTAAAAGAAGAGTCATTCCCATTAAATATGGTTGTATTCATTATTATATTGTTTTATATTACATTATTTGGTAGCACTTTACAATAAAGTTCCATTTGTTAACTACATTAGATAACATGAACTAACAATGAAAATAGTAATAAAGCATTTATTAATCTTAGTTAATGCTGATTCCAACATTTACTAATACAGTATCAAAATAAAAAAAAATGGACTCTGTTAATGTTAGTTAATGAACCTGAGCTAAGTTGGAACAACAATGAACAGCTGTATTTTTATTAACTAACATTAACAGAGATTAATGAATAATGTAACAAGTGTATTGCTCTTTCTTAGTTAATGTTAGTTAATGCACGGAACCTTATTAAAAAGTGTTACCGAATATTTTAATACTTTATTCAGCAAACATGCATTGTTGATCAAAAGTGACAGTAAATATAATTTATAATGGTTCAAAATATTTATTTCAAATAAATGCTGTTCCTTGGAATTTTCTATCCATAAAAGAATCCAGAACAAAAATGAATCACTCTCCACAAAAATATTAAGCCGTTAAAACAGCAACTGTTTCAACTCTGAAAATAACTGTTTCTTAGCACTGATCAATAACAGAATAATTTTTAATGCATCATGTGACACTGAAGACTGGAGCAATGGCCGCTTAAAAATTTAGCTTTGCCATCTCAGGAATAAATTACATTTTAAAGCACATTCAAATAGAAACATTATTTTAAACTGAAATATTTCACGATATCACCGTTTTATTTACTGTATTTTTGATTAATTAAATGTAAAAATAAATGGTTAGCATAAGACATTTCTTACAAAAAACAATCTTACTGACCCCGAACTTTTGAACTGTAGTATATAGATACAGTTGAAATCATAGTTTCATAATTGTTACAACCCAAAAGTGGGTAGAATTTGAAATGTGCAATTAAACGGCTAAACAAGTTTGTCATTGCCACTGTCCAGATGTCATATCTCGGATACACCCAAAGTATAGGGTTGCCACCCGTCCCTTAAAATACGGAATCGTCCCGTATTTCAAATGAATTAAGTTTTCCTCATTTTAACCCCCAACTGCGTCACTTCCTGTTCTGATCTGCCTGCGTGTTCTTGTGCTCTGTAAGCTGGCCTGTATCGTAACATACGTACTTTTCTGAACGTCGTGTGCGTCTTGTTTGGATTTGTGCGAAAGGGCCTTTGTCGGGTATGATACAAACGTAGCCTAGTTCATCTTCATTTTTATTTAATAGCTTTGTTTAATAGTACTTTTATTATATGGCCTAGATATGGCTGCAGGAACCAGCTAACGTTAGCTAATGTTAGCCCATTCATTGCGGCAGACTACTTGCAAATATATAGCCAAAAAACCTCTTTAGCTGTTTAATTGTGTATTTTAAATGTATGATTTTTCTTGTGATGACAGTTTAAAATGCTAACGAGTTGGATAAGTTATTCTTGCATTAGAGCTTTAATCCTTTTTTTCCCGCCTAACGTTAGTCTTGCAGTCAGTGCATGGTTACGTTTAGGCTAACGTTATCTCTGAGAAATGGGACGATTGCAGAGTTTACCATATTATTTTCCTATAGGCGATTAATAATCTTGCTTTTATTTTTAATCGTTTTATTAAATTTAATTCACATGCAGGCCGTCAACCATGGCGGACATTAAGAACTTCCTGTATGCTTGGTGTGGAAAAAAGAAGCTAACGCCGAGCTATGACATCCGAGCAGCTGGAAATAAAAACAGACAGAAATTCTTGTGTGAGGTGAGAATAAGGCTGAGGCCTCTTAAAGTCACTTGCAAATTGTATATAAAATACTTTGTAATAAAAGGGGTTTGTTGTTTTGAACCATGTTTCTTTAAGGTGCGTATTGAGGGTTACAGTTACATTGCCATGGGAAATTCTACCAACAAGAAGGATGCTCAGTCCAATGCAGCCCGAGATTTTGTGAATTATCTTGTTCGGACGAAAGAAATTAGTCCTAGTGAAGTTCCTGCTCTAGGGGTCAGTATCACATCTCTGTTTAAAGTTCTTCCACTGCTCGTCTGTATTATGAGGAAGGTCTGGGTTTACATTTATCGTTTTCAGGTCAGCGTACCTGATGGAGGGAATGAAGAAGGTGGTGGGTTTGGAAATCTCCCATCCAACTGTCCACTACCTCCACATCTGGCTGTGAAGAAGGAATCGGGGGGAGGTACCTTATGTTATACTTGGATTCATCCAGTAATTGGTTGCTAACAAAACATCTGCTATAATTTAATATCAGTGTTTTAGGTGTTGTTTAGATGTCAATGGAGAAAGATGCCTTTTGCCTGCAGATTGGTGTAGTTACGGCATCTACCAGTTGTGGGCTAGTTAGCTAACCAATGTTTAAACCATTTCTAACATTGACTAAAACAACTATTTTAATGCTGTATTGTTCCTGTGTCTCAGAACCTTCTGAGGGTTCTGCACCCGTTCCTGGAGTCACAGGTTTGGGCTATTCTGGATTTGGTAACGCCCAATGGGAGCGAGGAGCCAATCTGCAGGAATATTACTCTAAGAGAGAGGATCAGGATGCAAAAGCAGTAGGTCTTCATTTTTTTACCCAGGTTTTTATAGAAAGTTTCTGAGAATTAAGGGGTCTTTTCTCATTCCCCAAGACCTTGGAATCAGAGGAAGTTGATCTAAATGCTGGACTGCATGGGAACTCCTGCAGGAATATTACTCTAAGAGAGAGGATCAGGATGCAAAAGCAGTAGGTCTTCATTTTTTTTACCCAGGTTTTTATAGAAAGTTTCTGAGAATTAAGGGGTCTTTTCTCATTCCCCAAGACCTTGGAATCAGAGGAAGTTGATCTAAATGCTGGACTGCATGGGAACTGGACTCTGGACAATGCAAAGGCCCGTCTGAACCAGTTCTTTCAGAAGGAGAAGAACCAAACCGACTACAAGTACAGCCAAGTCGGACCTGACCACAACAGGTCAGAACATTCCCATTTACGACAACAGCTTAGTTTTGAACCCATTCCATGTGCTGTTTAATAGAATTATTCATTTGTAGGCTAATGTTTTCAATTAAAAACTGGTATCCTCATCGAAAATCAGACTTTGCATTTAAATGTAATGAGTCAAAGGTTTGTTTTTCTGCTGGACTGAAACAATGACAAGAGAACTCCTTGATGTGTATCTAACCTCAAGGAGATCTCAGACCACTTAAAGACGGTCTCATCTCGGATGTTACCTTACAAAATCAACAATGATTTATGGGTGAATCTCACGAAACTTGTCAAGAACATGTCCAGGTCATATTTCACTGCATCACGTAAAATACTGTATTTCAAATGTATAAGAATAATGAAAGTATTTGTCATAATATCAATGCAAAAAAAAAAATCTTATTGTTCTAAAAACATGCTTTATTATTATGTCTATTTAGGACTATTTAGGTTTTTATTTCATATTGTTGGGGGGGTGAAATGTGACCTGGACATGTTTTTTTGTGAGATTCATCCGTGTAGTATGTAATCTTAAAGGAGGACAATAGAGATGCCAGAAATCACAACCTTACATGGGGGAAAACATGTGACATGACTTAGGCTACACTAAGAGGTCACATGGTGAAGTATGTGATTGGTTGGGTTTAGAGGTGGGAGAGGCAAAATAATGTCTGGTTGTGATTTCTGGTGTCACTTGTCCATCAGGGGTCAAGGCCTCCAGTACCTAGAGAGGAATAACACCATGTTTAGAAGTCTGGCAGAAAAACAAACCTGCTCTGGATGGGTTGTCCTGTACGGACTGCGCTGAAATGTCACTCTGTTGATCTCATGTGCCGTCCGGTTAAGAGGTCAGTTTGTGGAGTTTCTTTGTGCTTAAATCTTGTAAAGACACCTGTGGGCTAAATGTCATGTTGGGGACGTCTTGATTTTAAATCTTGCTCTGTTATAGGAGTTTTATTGCTGAGATGACAATCTTTGTAAGACAACTGGGTAGGAGTAAGTATCAGAAAACCTACATAATAAACTGTAAGGTCAATTTGTGCTTAAATCTTGTAAAGACACCTGTGGGCTAAATGTCATGTTGGGACGTCTTGATTTTAAATCTTGCTCTGTTATAGGAGTTTTATTGCTGAGATGACAATCTTTGTAAGACAACTGGGTAGGAGTAAGTATCAGAAAACGTACATAATAAACTGTAAGGTCAAGGGCCAATGGTTTCACATTAGAATGTGTGTCCTTGCTAAAGCTGCCCTACTTTTCCAGAGGTTTTTGCCCGTGAGCATGGCTCTACAAAGAAGCTGGCTGCCCAGTCTTGTGCGCTGTCAATTGTCCGTCAACTTTACCATTTGGGGGTTGTAGAAGCCTACACAGGACAGACCAAGAAGAAAGAAGGAGAGACTGTGAGTTTAACACCCCAGTTTATCTGTCTTCTGAGACCTGTGTGTTTACTGACTCTACTAACTTCCTGTTTTGGTTGCTGTGACAGGTGGATGTATATGAAGTGAATCTCAGTGATGATGTACAGCATCAAATACACAGTATTGTGCAGGAACTTGGCATCCAGATCCCTCCTCCTGTAAGTGTTGGACAGAAAACCTTCCTGACTTATGAGCATTACCAAGTAAGAATAAAAAAGAACGTGTGTCCTTTTTTTAGCCTCAGGACCCCAACAGTCCAGTATCTCTGGTGCAAGGGAAGATGGCTCAGTTTGAGCCCTCACAAAGGCAGAGCACAGCAGGAGTGGTGCCGTGGTCTCCTCCGCAGGTCAACTGGAACCCATGGACCAGCTCCAACATCGACGAAGGGCCGCTGGCATTTGTGAGTCCGCTGTTCTGTGATGAACTCTTTTAACTCAATGATAGCAAGTGAAATTGGTGTGATACACTTCATGCCATTGAAAACCTATTGTACTTTGGTTTACAGTGTACTCCAGAACAGATCAGCACAGACCTGCTGCATGAGCTCAACTACCAGCTGGAACAGGACAAAAATCTGCAGACGGTGAGATAAAAACAGCCCTGAAAAAATCCATGAAATTGAAATTGGAGTTTTGTTGGTTTTAGTCCATGTGTATTTTATTTGAGGCCATTTCACATTTATATTATATATAAATTACATTATGTATTACATTTGAGGGTATTTCACAACCCCCTCATCCCTTTTATGGCAGTCAAACAATATATATATATATATGTATATGTATTAGGGCTGGGCAAGTTAATGCATTAATTGATTAACGCCGACAATTATTTTATCGCGCGTTAACGCAGTTTTTTTTGTTATTATGAAAGTCAGAAATGTTAACGCAGTCATGCTGCACGTATCAGAAGTTCCGCTCTCCGGTGCGGTTAGCGCTCACACTACATGCGTACCGTGCTCTGCCCCACCTCTTCCAAGCGCGGCACGGAGCGATCACACTAGTCAAACGAACCGAGCTTTTGGGGTCAAACACGCTCGGGTGCGGTTAAAGGGTTAGTTCACCCAAAAATGAAAATTAGCCCATAAATTACTCACCCTCAAGTTATCCTAGGTGTATATGATTGTCTACTACAGTACACGGATCCATTCCGTATAACTAACCACAGCAACATAAACATGACAAATCAAAACATCGTGAATGTGTGTGGAAACAACGTGAATGTACGGAAATGTCTGTGCCCGTGCATAAATACAATGTGCGATCAGTGCGTCAAGAGCACTCATATACGCATTATTATAACAGACTCACTCGTGCTTACTGTACTGTACGACTCCTGTACCTTCTAGTCGAACACAGCGGCTAGTGCTGCAGGCTTATTGGCTCACTGACACTGATGAGATTAACCCCTTAGGTATCGAAATTTGGTACCGAACGACAAGACGTTTTTCGATACTCGATGGTATCGAGGCAATTCGGTCGGTGCCTAAAAAGTATCGAACTCGATACCCAGCCCTACTGTGTATATATATATATATATAACACATTTGTATGTTAGCATACTAGCATACTCTAAACATGAATGAAATTCACTTTTAGAAGATAAGCACATTTAATATTTGCAGTTTTTCTCTTCTAGGCAGATGAATGAACAATACTGATGACAGCCATTGCACACTATTGCATATAAAAAAATTTTTTTTTTAATTATAAAAATCAAGAGAAAACTCTTCAATCTATATTAAACTTTTTATATTTCATGGGATATTCAGCATGCCCATTTTTATTTTTTAGTTTGAGCATTTTTCATGAGCAAGAATTGTTGACAGGGACTAAAGTTTTAAAGTTATCATATTAATATGCATTTGGTATTGTCAGATTACTAACAGCATGGTCTTTTTACAGATTCTGATGGAGCGAAGTCAGCTGCCAGTCAAAAACTTTGAGGAGCAAATCATGTCCGCCATTCACAATAACCCAGTGGTCATCATTCGTGGAGCCACTGGCTGTGGAAAGACTACTCAGGTTCCTCAGTACATCTTGGATGAGTTCGTACAGGCAGGAAAGGCATCTGAATGCAATATCATTGTTACGCAGGTGAGCCTGTTGAAATGCTTACTGATTTTATGTGCTTGGTCACCTTAAGAACAAGACAGTAATGTGACTTGCTTCTGCTGCCGTTTATCCTCTTAGCCAAGACGGATCAGTGCTGTGTCAGTGTCTGAACGTGTATCATTCGAGAGAGGAGAGGAGGTGGGGAAAAGTTGTGGCTACAGTGTGCGTTTTGAGTCTGTCCTGCCCAGACCTCATGCCAGCATCCTCTTCTGCACAGTTGGTACGTTAATTTCTTAATCTCGGACTGTGGCACATTGCACAGGGTTGGGTGATAGAACTAAAAATGTCTTATTCACAGGAGTGTTGCTGAGGAAGCTGGAAGCTGGTATCCGTGGCATCAGTCATGTGATTGTGGATGAAATCCATGAGAGGGACTTAAATGTAAGTCCAATGTTACCATATCAGCTTTAAAGTGTCATGAAACCCCCCTGTTTTAGCACTGGTTGTTCACACCTCAGATTTGAGAAAGAGTCAAGAAATGGGTGTGTAAAGCTGTGGGAGTGTAGAGGGTGGGAAGAGGGGAGAAAAAAAATAGGGCTGCCCCCTAATAGTCGACTAATCTTTAGTCGACCAGAAGAGAGGCTTGGTCGACCAAAATTTTATTAGTCGCAGAAAAAAAAA